ACATTAACAGTATTTAAGGAAAAAAAGTCACAGAAAATACATTTTAAAATTCAATGAGAGGAACCAGTAGGCAAACACAGAAACATTACAAAGAGGCAAAAAAACCCCCAAAAAAACCCGAACAAACAAAACACTAAAACCAGCCAAAATGTCACATCAGCAACCAGGCCAGAGATTAAGTCTGGGTCTGAGAGGAAAACATTGAGAACCAATGGATGAAAAATCCTTGATAGAAAAAAAAAAAAAAAAAAAAACACTGCCAAAATATCCCAAACCTGCTTTTGAATGATCTGGCCTGAGAGGAAGTCCAGATCTGAGAGGACATAATCACGAGAACCAATGGGTGAAGAAATGTAGGAAGAGGCAAAAAACAGCCAATACGTCCCACATCAGCTTTTGACAGATCTGGTCTGAGAGGAAATCCAGGTCTGAGAGTAAAGAAAATCAAGAAAATCTTAGTGCTAAAATAAAGCACATTGCAAAAAGTGATTACATACTCTGCAAAAAGTGATCACATACTCTGCAAACACTTTTAAAAGAAACATAAAATGATCATGTTAATGTACTTAACTAATCTTTATTCTTTTGTCACTTAAAAAACAACACCACGATCGTAACATTAATTCACAAGACCACCGTGGATGAATCAATGTCTTCTAAATCTGAAGCCAAACGATAGAGGTGTGTAATAAAAATATTTATTGTTTTATTTTATTTTATTTTATTTTTGTGTAAGAAAAACAAAAATAAAATAAATACTAAATGAACTATAAATCATTACTTACGATCTACTGCCATAAGAGTGTTCACCAGGGACATGGTGACGTGACAGAGAATTGTGAAGCTCATGTGTCGGTCATCCTTGCTTCTGTGTTACTTCTACATTTACATTTACATTTAGTCATTTAGCAGACGCTTTTATCCAAAGCGACTTACAACTGAGGACTAAACCAAGCGAGTCATCGTGAAGAGCCAAAAGCAACGCAAGAAGTGCTCAAAATACAAAGTTCAGACATAGCTCGGAGTAGCATAAGCCAGGCAAGCGAGGATTTAGAGGAAAGGATTTTTTTTTTTTTTTTTTTATGTTAAGTGCTCCCGGAAGAGATTAGTTTTCAGTTGTCTTTTGAATGTTGTCAGGGATTCTGCATTCCGGATGAGGGTGGGGAGATCATTCCACCAGCATGGAACCGTGAATGAGAATGTTCTGGAGAGTGATTTTGTGCCCCGCTGTGATGGTACCACGAGCCGTCGCTCATAGACCGATCGTAGGCTTCTGGTAGGGATGTAGACTTGTAGTAGTGAGTGGAAGTAGGAGGGAGCTGAACCTGTGGTCAATCTGTAAGCAAGCGTCAAAGCCTTGAACTTGATGCGAGCAGCGAGTGGTAGCCAGTGCAGAGAGATGAACAGAGGAGTGACGTGGGCCCTTTTGGGCTCGTTGAAGACCAGACGAGCTGCAGCATTCTGGATCATTTGTAGAGGTTTAGTTGCACATGATGGAAGTCCAGCCAGAAGAGCATTGCAGTAATCAAGCCTAGTAATCTTTAACCAAGTAATCTTTAACCAAGTAATCTTTAACCAAGCAAAGAAAATCGCCGTCAGAGTGCGGAGAACATTGAAATGCCTCAGCTGTTGATAACTGTCTGTCTGCAAAAACGTGTTTCGCGCCGCAAAGAATATCCGTCTCTGCCTCGTCTTTCAAACACAACCTCTTTGACTTAATACTATAACGTTAGGCCTAACTTACATGTGAATCTCACAAAAACGCAGGTACTTGCATCACTAAATCAAAAAAAAAAAAAAAAACATATCTAATTTGCTTTGGGAATTTTAATATTATTTGCATGGAAACTAAACAAATTGACCACTACATTTTAATTACAACATTGGATCTGGATATTTCGAGTTGTTTTGTAATTATTCTCCATCTTATGTGCATGATATTATGCGAATTGATGCATCTGGTAAGATTCGCACCGTTACTGAATCACAAATTCATATAAATCGAGTTAAGGGTTAGGCTACTACAAAAGAAAGCCCAACTAATTTCTAAATGGTAACAACTTTAGCCAAGCAAAGAATTCGCAGTAATAATCGCATAGATTTACGTTAGTAATCGGAGCTCAGAGAGCATTCATTAGCAGCTAGGCGAAATGTCTCAACCGTCGAGCTCTGTCTTCAAAACGCGATTCGCGCTCAGTAAGCAGTTAAAAAAAAATACCCCATGAAAAAGGCGATTTTACAGGTACTCTGGAGCAACATAATAGAATAACAGCAAAGAAATAAACTTACCTTGAACAGTGGCCTTCTTTAAGACAGCAGGAGTGTTGCGAAACCATTTTGTTCTTTGACTGCTTTCTGTTCGAAAAGAGACCGCGTTGAAGATGCCCCGCCCACACGTGCTATTTTTTACAGTCCAAGACTGTTTTTTCCAGGAACAAATTGGTTTACACATAAATGCTGTAAATTTACAGCAAGCAATTAATTTATGGAACATAGACTGTAAATTTACAGGATAAAACTGTTTATTGAAATAACAGTATTTTACTGTTGGAAATTGGCTGTATTTTTACAGCAATTTTTAACAGTGTAGCGCTTTCACAGACCCAATGGCCACCAAAGCGCTTTACATTTTGCCTCACATTCACCCATTCATACACTCATTCATACACCAACGGCGGTGTCAGCCATACAAGGCGCCATCCAGCTCTTCGGGTGCAGCTGGGGTTAGATGTCTTGCTCATGGACACCTCGACACTTGGCCAGGTGGAACCGGGGATTGAACCACCAACCTTCCGGTTTGTAGACAACCTACATGAACCACTGAGCCACTGCCGCATTTTATAATACATATATTTCAAAGTTAAACCCCGTCCGGTTCCGAAGTGGTTGATAAATCTGAAACATTTGTCTATGTGGTCAGGGAAGATCATGAGGATCCAGAGGTACTTCCAACTAAATTCTCTGAATTGTGCTTATCTGCAAAAAAAAAAACAACAACACTTGTTTTGCTCTGTTTAAATGAGAAAAAAACTTCAAACATCACACGGGTATTATTAAAGATCACACAGTATACAATTGTTTTGCATAAAAAGGTGCTTCCCAATATCACACCCTCATCTCTTACATCTACTTCCTGGTCAGATTAGTATTGCTTTTATTGCCTTTGTGCTGGAGCTCGTAATGAATTTGAAAGCCACACAGGAAACAAGAGGAGAGAAAAGTGTCTTTGATATCAGATAAGTGCAACATGGAAAGGAGCTGCAAGCACAAAGCTGTATGATAGATGAAAAAGATCAGAGGAACAGGATAGCATAGATGCTTTCAGGGAACACCCCCACATCATTTGAATATTATAAAATGATGTCATATTACTGGATACAGCTTTTTAATTAAAATTTTGACATTCAAGTATTGAACCTGAACCTGTTTCAAGGTTTGCGTTCTCAAGCCACCAAACACTGTTGTTATGCAGATGAGTGACTCGGGAACATCGGCAGCGTCAGTCCGTCTTGCTCCTATCCTTTGCTCCTCCAAGCCACTGATTTACTGGTACAAAACTCCAGTCCAAATATGCGAAAGCATTCGTAGGTCAACGGACACACCCGCTAGTGAGAGGCTAACCAAACAGTACTACCTCCTATTTCCACGATGCCCGAAAACACACTCTTCTCTTGTAATCCACCCGCAAAAACAACCTCCAACGGGACTGTAACGCTCTCCACTCGTCAGTAGAACATGACTCTATACACTTTAAACCTTGCTGCTATATACTCATTTCCGTTGTCAATTTTCCTCTCCTCCAATCCTGCCAGAGTATAGTTTTGGGAGGAGAAGACAGAGAGTGACAGTACTTAAAGGGGAAGTACGGAAAAAAAAAACTATATTGCTACAAACACATTAAAAGTTTTCTGTTTTTTTTTTTACGGTTGAAACGGTGTCGTGTAAGTTATTAACTAATGATCTTTGCAATGGAAGTGAATCAATCAAAAACTTACATTAGCTGGACAATAACTTTATTCTAAAGCTGCTGTAAAGCCAAAACAATATCTGTTACTTTAATTTCCTATTATCACTGCTTTGAAACAACCTATATTATTAAAAGCGCTATATAAATGAAGGTGACTTGACTTGACTTATTGCATTGCCCTATTGCATGCCAGAGCTGACCATCACACTACATCATTTTAAATATGATGTGACTGATACTGTTAGCTTTTGTTGTTCTTTGCAAATAATTCTAATTGACTGCAAACGTTAGTTAAACAATATTATAATGCTGTTGTACCGTATATCACCACAGCCACAGGTGATCAAAGCTATTTATTACATTCATAATTCAGTACAACAACACTTTTGAAATACTTGATTCTGAGTGGTCACTTGTGGTTTTCAGTGATCAGATATTTACTAATATTCTGTAACAGTAACAAGTATATATCATACTGATCATGATGTGGGTAACTGAAATCATCTTGCATCTCAATTATCAACTGTGTGGACAATAACCTCAGAGGACTTCAGTATTAATATTATTGTATCACTTGTTGCTTCAGTATGTTGATTGTTTTGTAATGGACTTTTTTTTTAGATGACGTTTTAAGATAATATTCAGGAAAGATAATAACAAAATTAGTTCCAAACGAAGCCAAAGAATCAAGCTTTTCCTGTCACCAAAAGACAAACAGATTGAAACTCGCTCATAGCATTCTACTCTTCCACTATGTGGCACTTATGTTCTCTGGGTTGGTTTCTTATTATAGGACTCTTAATATAAGAGAACTTCAACTGAACCTCAGATCTTCTGGTTTTTACAATCCCCTTAAGCTTATGACGTTTTTGGAAAATGCAGCACAGTACGGTATCACCTCTCATCTCTCGGGTTCTCACATGTTTACTACTGAAATGTAGTCCTTTGGTTTCATTGTTATATTTACGGTCTTATCTGTATTGAATCCCTGCCTTTTCATTTACAGACATTTTGCTTTCTCTCTCTCTGTTAGGTACGTCTTGTTGCTCTTCATTCTATTCTTCATCCCAGGTGTGGTGATGATAATTTCCTACGGTCTCATATCCAGAGAACTTTACAGAGGGATTCAGTTTGAACTGGAGCAGAAGAAAGACTCTAGTGGTATGAATCTTTGTTTTCTTCTTTGTAAAAGCCCTCACACCACAATTTCATTAAGCTCTTGAAGCCCTGCGTAGTCTGAAGCATGCCTGTTCACCTTGATGAACCACCTGGAAAACTTCTAAAAGATTGCACTTGTTTAACCACCAGGCATTTTCCATTTAACAAATGTTTTTCTGCTGGCACTTGAATCCAATTTAAACTTATCCTTTGGATGTTACCTGTGACTTGGATTTCCAGTAGTGAGCCAGTGAAGCCCAAATTTAAATATCTCTAATTCTGTATTGTTTACTGGTTTCATGTACGTGCCAAACAGCCAGTCAAAAGTTTTGTCATGTCATCATTTGAGACCTTTCTTTTTAAGAAACCTTTTTTTTTTTTTTTTTGCATGATGTAACTGCTACGAGTTAGCTTGCTTTCTTTGGCATTCTCAAAGGCTCAACAGACTATTGCCTTCTCTTCCCATTTTGTGTTAGAGGCTGCTTGACCCAAATCTCCCATGGCGAGTACTGAATGCACTAAGGTCATGCTGTGTACCTCCCTGTGTGTTAAGGTTATTTGTGCACTGATGTGCTGGAAGTAAGTTATTTCAGGGATAAGCTTTAGACAACTTCAGTGAGGAGGAAAGGGGTACTTCTGAGGGCATTGCAGTTAAAGACCTCCACAGGTACCTTTTATTATAATACTGAAGTTAATATTTTGGAGAACTCATGCAGAGGGGACATGCAGAACAAGATCTTTACATATTTAAACAGGCCACTGGTTATACAGGTTGTTATTTTCCCTACTTTGTTAATCCCTTGTATCAGGTTCATACAGTGTTAAAAGATACTTGTATAAATGAACCTTCCCATCCTCGTAATGTTAATGTGCCCTGCAAAACCCACATTATGCCATCTACATTAAACCTTGGTGACACTAGACTTTTCTGAAGCTCTTGCTCTCATGCTCTAGGACTTCCGTGTTTAGTAAATATAGTAATAATTTCAATTATTTTTTTAATATACCATAAACTCAATGCTTTCTTGCAGCAATGCTAATATGCAGCTTGAAAGTTTGTGTTCTTTGAATTCAAGGTCAATCTGTGTCATTTAAATCCTCTGTTAGCTACAGGTCTTCAGCCTGTTAGTTACAGGAGTTCAGCAACCTTTGAACGCAGAGGATTGTGAAATGTCTTCTGCATTCTTTCCAGTCTCTCCATTTACTTTCATTCATGGGTATGAATGGAAGTCAATGGAGTGCACATTTCTAGTGTTAAACAGAAATAACATACATTTTCTTTTAAAAATGGAATGGAGTGAATGTACACCTTCTTCATTTCTTCACTTCTTTTATTTACAGGCATAAAGAATGGGTTGAATGGTGTAATGTCTCCTGGCCATGATGAGAGCGATGGATGTTACATCCAGGTCCCAAAGAAGCCCTCTGCTATAGAACTTTCTGCTCTGACCACCTCAGCAACCATCAAGACAGACCGTCCACGGAGCAACACCTCAGAGGCTAAGCTCATTGCTAAGAAACGAGTGATACGAATGCTGATCATTATAGTTGCCATGTTCTTCGTATGCTGGATGCCTCTGTACTCAGCCAACACCTGGAAGGCTTTTGACCAAAAGTCAGCCCAGCGCACTCTTTCCGGAGCTCCTATCTCCTTCATTCAGCTGCTGTCCTATACCTCAGCCTGCGTCAACCCTATTATCTACTGCTTCATGAACACCCGCTTCCGCAAGGCTCTCATTGCCACCTTTGGGTGTTGCTGGCGGTCGTGCCACAACCGGAGGAAGAGGAGGGAAGGTGATGATGAGATCACTGGGGTCACAGGGGCATCCATAACAAAGTTCAGTTATACCACTGTTAGCACGGTAGGACAGTGTTAGCATTAGCATTGCAAGTGTCTCCAGTTTGATCCATGAGCATGTGTGCTTGTGACATTTACTGCTTGTTTAGGAGTTTAGATCACCAGATGTGTTCTTCTTTTTCATGGTGTCAACATGCTTTGTTCAGTGTGTCAGTGTTAATTTTTATTTGGAAAAAATACCTAATTTGTCTGTTCTTTCTGGCCAAAGTCGGTGTGTCTTTCTATGGTTGTGTCTTCAACTTTTAGCATTGTGATACAATCAAAAGGTGCGATACATGGGATGTGCAATGATGTAGCTTTATTTTTATTGTGTAAAATCTTATCATGCATGGGATTTGTTAGTAGGGAAATACCATAGAAATATTCTTGTATCTTTGATGTTATGGAACCAAATACTGCATGTAGCATGATCAAACAATAGAGTACTGGTAGATAGCTGCTTTCTGGCAACAAAATTATACAGCTTTTATTGTCTATTTTGAGTGTTGTGATGTCTGTATTTTTTGTTCACTGTTTTGTCAGTTGTATAATAGAATCTTTGTCTTAATGAGCTTTGCTTAAATGACCCCACTGAGAGTCCTTCTATTGTATATTCTGATAATAACAGCATTATATGGTCTTGTAGGAGACAATGTTTAATCTGTGCTCCTTTTTTGATGCACATCTCCAACAAGTTATCCTTCATGAAGATGTATCAGGTGGACAAGACAATTCAGTCATCAACGGAATCAACGGTCTCTTGGAAATCTTCATCCCAGCTGATGTTATCAAATGGTCAATAAGCTGCATGACCAACGCTATCTCAATTCGTACGAATGAGTAAAAGGTGTCTAATTCTTACGACCTCACTCGTACGAATTCGTACGATTTGTCTAAACCCACTTGATGGGTATACTGTAAAATCCAATAGTGATTCTAACTAACACTTTTTAGTTAACTTTATTTAATGTCTTAACTTAATTGTAAAAATCTAGTAATATGTACTATTCACATACTATGCTTTCTTTACTCAGAAAACACAAGTTAAGATAAATTGATTGGTTTGAGCACGTTTTTTTGAGGCGGGAAATTCTTAATGGACTTTTCACTCATTTCCTCCACTTCTGCAGTTATTTTTCTCTGTTTGCATTCACTCATTTCCCAAAGTCATCTTGAATGTTGAATTGTCAATACAACAAAAAAAAATTGAGAGAACATCACATAAGATGACTTCATAAATTGATGTTGATTTTCCTAAAATGTTCTTTGTCACCATTAAGGCGATTAGTGATCCCTTTGGTTAGGCACTTGGAACTTAATTTATACTATTGTGATTCTCTTCCCATTGATGCAGCACTGCAACAAGAAATCAGTTATTTGGTTTCAAAGGAAGATACGTTTATATATATATATATATATATATATATATATATATATATATATATATAATGTATATATATATAATGTATATATGTATATATGAATAAATTATGTAAAACATAACTATATTTCATGTCAATTAAAGATCTTTTATAATTTTGTTGCTAACACTTATGTCCTAAACATCTTGTGAAACTTTTAATTGGGTTTATATAATCCCTCTATATTTGTGACAATCTTGCAATTGATCATGCTTGAGTCACACATACTTCAACATTCAGCATGCAAAACACAACTATGGTAACAATGATATTTTATTTAAAGTAAATTATCAAGTACTCTCTTCAATTCTTTTTTGTTAGAACTCTTGCGTAAGTGAACTATACTAACTAAGCATTTGTCAGTACCACATACTATTCCTATTTCACTTGTTTTTTTTTAAGGCAATCGGTTTGCATGCTTTTTTTAAGTAAGTCTAACTATTTAGATTCTAAGAAATCTGATTAGATTTTACAGTGATAGGTTTAGGGGCGGGGTCAGGTGTAGGTCATTCGTACAAATTCATACGAATTGTGCAACTCAAAAAATATGTACGATTTAGATTTTTTTTAACGAATTCGTACAAATTAGCCACCTTGTAAAATTCATACGAATTGCCAGTGAGATCAGGTTGGCATGACAGGTTGGAATTTTTTTGAAAGACTCCAACTAGATGCTCTGGGAAATAATGAAATAAAAGGAAAATAATAAACTGTAGAGGGAAGTTTAATGTGATTGCCTTGGAGGCACTAATGTTCTAATACACATTCTAGCAAAACCACTAAAAAAAAAAAAAAAAAAAAAAAACACCTTCAGTCTTTATTAAATTGGTGTTGCTCTAATTGATTTCTTCCTTATTGCTGAAGCTGATGAGACTCCTGGGATATTCGGCTTCTTGCCTGGCCCAAACGAAGCCTCTTTGAATATATGAAATGCAAGCTAAGCTCTTGTTTGTGCTGAAATTAATTTATTCAGTGGTTCATGCTAAACATGAAAGCTGGATCTGCACAGCAATACCAAGTGCTTTAAAATTCAAACTCAAAAGGATTGTACGCACATGAGATGTGTATGTGCTTATACTTGGTTTATCTTGTTATCCACTGGATTGTGGGAATGCTTGTATGGTCATATTTTATTTCATAACACAGTTGGCAGTTGTCCCAGTTTTAATTTTTACTTCAGATTAGTCAGATTAGGGAATTATGATAAAGTTGGTCAAAGTTGGTATGATAAACTTTAGTTTAGGGTCCAATTCTCACTATTAACTAACTATTACCTATGACTTTTGCCTCAATAAACTCCCAATTACTGCTTATTAACAGTTAGTAAGGTAGTTGTTCAGTTTAGGTTTTGGGTAGGAATTGGGGATTAAGGTATGTAAAATATGATCATGCAGAATAAGCCATTAATATGTTATTTATAAGTATTAATAATTAACCAATATCCTAGTAATATGCATGATACTAAGCAACTAGTTAATAGTGAGAATTTGGACCCTAAACTAAAGTGTTACCATAAAGTTTAGAAATGAAACCACATATTAGAAACAAGTCATTTGTTAAACCATTACAAATATAAGTAGGCTTTTGATTATTTCTGAGTAACAATAGATCAACTCTAGAGAAAAAAAAAGTATAACACATACTCTACAAATATAAATTGAACTTTATTTCTAACAATATATCAGTGAGAATAGATCAAATAAAAGTGATATGACAAAATGCAGCCTGTATAGACGTATGGCCAGGTGGCAAATGAGAGGTCTAAAACACAATTGAGTGTTTTTGCAGGCCTATATAAAATGGTTGTTTTTTAAATGGTTTTGTGAATGAAAATCTTTCTTGGCAGAGCGGAAGAGAATTAGGTAGAAGAAAAGAGCTGTACAGTGGGCACATGCTCCCTCCATTAGAATTAGAATCTTTCTTCCCTCCTCCTCATGTACACAAGGCTAACTTTGAGGGTCAGAACTAGAATTCATAGCTTCATAATTTGTTTATGTGCCCCCAGGATATTCAGTGAGCAAATACTTCAGTGCGTACACACCCTCCCTCCTTACCTCTTCCATTTCTGTCTTCTTCTTTCTTTATTATCATTGCCTACTTGCAATTTTTCTTTTCATCGATCAGTTTTTCCTCTCTCTCCATTGGACCACCTGGGTATGTGGCAGACCTATATCAAACAAAAGTCTTGGGGATAAACAGAAAGTGTTATTTCTCACTCAGACACACAACCTGTCTGCCAAGCAGCTGCTGTTATTTCTCTTGTTGTCAGTGACATCAGCCAAAAGCTACAGTTGAATTAGTTCGTCTTGCAGGTTTTTGTTTGGGTAGATGACTGATAACATAAGTCTGGTCATTTATTTCAAACCATGCCAACAGAGGGTATGATATGGATCCTGTTTCCAAGACAACCATTCATACAGTCAAGAATGGCTTGATTAGGACCGAACGAAACTATAAGTAACAAATAGAACCTGGTTGAAATGAAAGCTACCTGAATAAATAAATAACAGCAAAACAAACAATTACTTGGGAATAGTTTTAGATAATCAGACAACAAATAACAAAGAACTACATTCAGAAATGCATCTGTTATCACAGTCAAGCTTGACAAGGTGTATTCGGCTATAGTCTAATGAAAGTGCACTTTTGATGTTTGGCAGGTTAAACAGGAACAGGTTACCAGTTGTTCCACCTTCTGACCTTGTTCAGAGAAGATTGCTTATATTTTCTAACATGCTTATGCTGTCTTGTGCTGTTTCTGTGGCAGATGTAAACGAGCACTAACAGATTGATAATTATGCAGTGTGTCAAAGTTTCTCTGCTCTAAATTGTTCTCTTTGAGGAATTATCCTCTGCTAGTTCCCTTATTAAATATTCAGAAATGTGTTGTATTTCTTGTGAGTGCTTATATAATAAACTGTCCTTAGGGTTTATATTTTGACATGTAAATACAATGATTTACTGGTAACACTTTACAATGGTTTCATTAGTTACCATTAGTTAATGCATTAGTTAACATGAACTAACCATGAGCAACATCTCTGTTCAGCATTAGTTCATATTTCTTAACGTTAACTCACACATGTACTAATGCATCAATTCACATTAATAGCCCGGTTAATTAACATTAGTTAATGCATTAGTTAACATGAACTAACCATGAACAATGTCTGTAAATAGCTTTACTGTTTTGTAAGGTTAACTTACTGTACATATTTACATTAGTTTACGTTGCAGTTGACACACACTAAGTATGAACATTTCTAACTCACCATGTTACCCTAAATGTAAAAATACTGTTGTGTACCTTATCAACACTTTCATATAAGGCATTGATTTGTTGGTAAACATAATGCTACAGCGGAAAACAAATGTTAGTAACACATCAGTTAATGTTTAAATAGTGTACACTTTACAATAAGGTTTATAAATTCCATTAATAAATTCTTTATTAATGATAGTTCATGTCAATAAAGAGTCTACAAATGTTAGTAACACATCGGTTAATGTTGAATAGTGTACACTTTACAATAAGGTTTATAAATTCCATTAATACATGCTTTATTAATGGTAATTAATGTTAATAAAGAGTCTACAAATGTTAGTAACACATCAGTTAATGTTGAAATAGTGTACACTTTTCACTCAATCCATTAATAAATGCTTATTTGAATGCAAGTAATGATAGTAAAGTGCGTATAAACATGAACAACATATTTTTCCGCTGTAGAATTATGTTTACCAACAAATCAATGCCTTATAAAAGAGTGTTGATAAGCTACACAACAGTATTTTTACATTTAGGATGGTCCCACTTTATATTAAGTGGCCCTAATACCTGTGAACTTACATGGTTACTGATATGTACTTAGTATGTAACTACAGTGTAAATACACATTGGTACATAGTATTTACAACTGTAATATTTGTGGAACTACACATATGTAACAACCCACGGAAAGGTAAGTACAAATGTGTAACAGGACATTGGTAACAACACTTTTTCCACTACAGTAAGTACACATGTGTAACAGGCATTATGTAACTACATTTTGTAACAAGAATATGTATTCACACAAGTTGTTCCACTTCCACACGCAGTCTTCCATATAGTTACCAGTTAAGAACACACTGAAACCATGATGATTCCTATGTGTATACCATGTATTTACTATGTGACCAGCAGGACTTATGTTGAATTACAGCTAAAGTTTTCCCTTGTGGTACCAGTGTACTTACATGGTAACTCCTCAGGAACTCTGCACTTGATTCAATGTGTTAAACTGTCATAAGTTAACTTACATGTATAATGCAAAACCCAAACCTCTGTGCAACTGTACTAACAGTGTACTTACATAATAACTCCTCAGGAACTGTCCACTTAATATAAAGTGTAAAACGGTCATAACTTACTGTGTATTATGCAAAACCCAAACCTCTGTGCAACTGTACTAACAGTGTACTAACATGGTAACTCCTCAGGAACTGTCCACTTAATATAAAGTGTAAAATGGTCATAATTTACTGTGTATTATGCAAAACCCAAACCTCTGTGCAACACTGCATTAACAGTGTACTAACATGGTAACTCCTCAGGAACTGTCCACTTAATATAAAGTGTAAAATGGTCATAATTTACTGTGTATTATGCAAAACCCAAACCTCTGTGCAACACTGCATTAACAGTGTAACTTACTTACATGGTAACTCCTCAGGAACTGTCCACTTAATATAAAGTGTAAAATGGTCATAACTTACTGTGTATTATGCAAAACCCAAACCTCTGTGCAACTGTACTAACAGTGTACTAACATGGTAACTCCTCAGGAACTGTCCACTTAATATAAAGTGTAATTGTTAGGGTCATTGTTGTGTAACGTTACCACAGTAAATGCAAAACACAAGGTTACGTAGTGGATAGTAAACTCTGAAATATAAATGTGATAGTTATGCTTTGATAGATTCTGGGATATTACGGCATAGCACTTTTAAAGATTTACTCTTTATTTTAGATTTTTTGATTTGACATTGTGGTGACCTATTTGCCTTTACAGTAAATTACAGTGTTCTGTAAACAATAAACAAGAATAGCCTACACTTTAAAACCTTAAAAATACCTTGTTTAATCGTTTAACCATTTTGTAGTATTTAGTTTATTTACCTTGAGACACAAAAAGCGTTTTCTCCAATAAAACACAACATAAATTCACAAAAAACATCAATTGTATTAGCCTGATGTAATCCAAATCTTTAGAATCCATACGTTGTTTGCAAGAAACAGATCCAAATTCAGCCCTTTATGATCTTCATCTCCATTTCTCAGCAGCGACCGCAAACTTCAAATCCCGCGCTCAGGCGCGCTGGTGATGAATTCAAATTAAAAAAATGCGCCTTCAAGAAGCGTTACGACATGCTTTACGGCCGTGATATCAAACGCTCATTGGCTCTCGCCTGCTTCGTCACAGATTGCGACATGCCGTGTTTCAGTCGGTGTAGCACATTTGAAATGGAGAAGCGCGTGCGCCTTCACAGAGCGAACCGAAACCAGATTAACATTTTCATGGATTTATAATTTATATTCTGATCTGTACCTCATACACAATTATTATAATACTGCCAGAGAGGACTGCGGCTGCAACGCATCATCATGTGAACGACTTTTGGTAGCGGTTTTGACATTTTCGCAATAAACAAATTATTGTGAAATTTATAACGTTACTTGTCTGTCTGTTATGTTTTTATTTTCTTCATAAGTGTAACGTTAGCCTACGTAGTTTTAAAGGGGTCATGAACTGGCTTTTTAAATTGTTTTATATTGTTGTCTGAGGTCAACTTACGACGTTCGCTTGGTTTTTACATTCAAAAACATCAAAATGAATAAGTAATAGGCTATTTTCTACCCTAGTTTTGAGCCTAGCTCAAAAACGCTCGGTTTTTATGGGCGTCTCGCATTGAAGACTTGGAAGTAAACGCCCACTGCTGTGAGTGGATAACAGTTTTGCATATTATAATGAGTTTCGTCTAATGCGCGAATCGGTGGGCGGGGCTACAGCGGCCGTGTTGAAGTAGGCGTTGATCTTCTTCTGCGGGGGTGGTGTTTTATCCTCTTTGTCGTCATAGTTCCCCACTTTGAAAAACGAGTCGTTTGCTGAGCCTGGTGTCAATAAAAGCTTTTATTGGACTAACAAGGACGTTTTCAGTTCTGAAACTTACAGGATATTCTTATAATTTGATGACCTCTTAGATGTCAAAAGCTCAAAGAAAATTTGATTTCTCAGTTCATCACCCCTTTAAGGAATGGTTATGGGTATATGGGTAGGATTAGTGGCTCAAAATATATTTTAATGCTATTGTTAATAAAACTATGAGAGGTTTGGGTTTGCTGAGATGGTCTCTGTTATGACCGTTTTACACTTTATATTAAGTGGACAGTTCCTGAGGAGTTACCATGTAAGTAAGTTAACGTTACACTGTTAATACAGTGTTGCACAGGGGTTTGGGTTTTGCATAATACACAGTAAGTTATGAACATTTTACACTTTATATTAAGTAGACAGTTCCTGAGGAGTTACCATGTTAGTACACTGTTAATACAGTGTTGCACAGAGGTTGGGTTTTGCATAATACACAGTAAGTTATGACCATTTTACACTTTATATTAAGTGGACAGTTCCTGAGGAGTTACCATGTTAGTACACTGTTAGTACAGTTGCACAGAGGTTTGGGTTTTGCATAATACACAGTAAGTTATGACCATTTTACACTTTATATTAAGTGGACAGTTCCTGAGGAGTTACCATGTAAGTAAGTTACACTGTTAGTACAGTTGCACAGAGGTTTGGGTTTTGCATAATACACAGTGACAGTAAGTTATGACCATTTTACACTTTATATTAAGTAGACAGTTCCTGAGGAGTTACCATGTTAGTACACTGTTAATACAGTGTTGCACAGAGGTTGGGTTTTGCATAATACACAGTAAGTTATGACCATTTTACACTTTATATTAAGTGGACAGTTCCTGAGGAGTTACCATGTTAGTACACTGTTAATACAGTGTTGCACAGAGGTTGGGTTTTGCATAATACACAGTAAGTTATGACCATTTTACACTTTATATTAAGTGGACAGTTCCTGAGGAGTTACCATGTTAGTACACTGTTAGTACAGTTGCACAGAGGTTTGGGTTTTGCATAATACACAGTAAGTTATGACCATTTTACACTTTATATTAAGTGGACAGTTCCTGAGGAGTTACCATGTTAGTACACTGTTAGTACAGTTGCACAGAGGTTTGGGTTTTGCATAATACACAGTAAGTTATGACCATTTTACACTTTATATTAAGTGGACAGTTCCTGAGGAGTTACCATGTTAGTACACTGTTAGTACAGTTGCACAGAGGTTTGGGTTTTGCATAATACACAGTAAGTTATGACCATTTTACATTTTATATTAAGTGGACAGTTCCTGAGGAATTACCATGTAAGTACACTGTTAGTACAGTTGCACAGAGGTTTGGGTTTTGCATAATACATGTAAGTTATGACAGTTTAACACATTGTATCAAGTGCAGAGTTCCTGAGGAGTTACCATGTAAGTACACTGGTACCACAAGGGAAAACTTTAGCTGTAATTCAACATAAGTCCTGCCGGTCATATAGTAAATACATGGTATACACATAGGAATCATCATGGTTTCAGTGTGTTCTTAACTGGTAACTACATTATGGAAGACTTCGTGTGGAAGTGGAACAACTTGTGTGAATACATATTGTTGTTACAAAATGTAGTTACATAATGCCTGTTACACATGTGTACTTACTGTAGTGGAAAAAGTGTTGTTACCAATGTACCAATGACGACGGAGGGAGGAGCCATGGAGGGGACAGGGCTGAAGACTCCAGGGGGCCGACTGACGGGGGCGGAGCAGGTGGGAGAGAAGACCAGGGTGGAGCCGTAGAGCAGACGAGACCGGGTGATGCTTAGGGACTGGAGGGACATGGTGACACCGAAAGTCTCAGGCGACTGAAGTGTAGACAGGGACACAGAAGGACACGGTGGAGACAGAGGGAGTGAGGACCAAAGGGGAACTGAGGGGAGTGAGGAGTCCAACAGAGCCGAGGGGACGAGGCGTAGCTAGAGGAGAGGAGTCCAGAGGTGAGGGAAGGCCGACGAGGGACACAAGTGAATCCGGGGGGACGAGGGAGCCTGGCGGAACTGGGGGACTGAGGGGCCATGGTGGAGCTGAGGGAGGTAAGAGCCAAGGTGGAACAGATGGAACGAAGGGCCGAGGTAGAGTCCTGGTTGAGGAGGTTGGAGGCGGAGACCGGGGATCCACCGACCCTGAAGGCGTTGGTGGCAGGCAGATCCTCGGCGACTCCACCTCCTCAAGGGTGGATACAGGAGCAGAGGGGCTGCCAGGCAGTGGTGGAGGAAAGGTAGAGAGGCAGATGGAAGGAGGTGGGAGAGGGAGGCTGGGTGGGAATTCAGGCTCGGGAACAGTAGGCTCAGTTTCTGGGAGGCAGACGTGGAGCGCAGGCTTGGAGTGGCTGACGTGAAGCGCAGGCTCGGCGTGGCTGACATGACGCACAGGCTCGGCGTGGCTGACGTGAAGCGCAGGCTCTGTGCTGGAGGGGACCAGCGGTGAAGGCTCTGTGCTGGACGGGATAACGGTCTCCCTCCAGCTGAGTCCGGTGGTGTCTGGAAGGTCGTTCCGGTGGTGAAAGGTGGCCCCGAGCTGGAACAAGGTACACAACCTCTCGTCGTCAAGGGTGCTGTGGATGGCAATGCGGACAAACCCCTTGACGAACGAGAGGAATTGGCTTTTCTCAGCCAGGACGATAATTTTTACCCCATCGTCCATCTTAGGGCGGTCTGTAGTTCTGTCACAGCGTGGTGCAGGCAGAAGACGAAAAGGCAAGAGCTCCAATGCAATTACTTTTACTTACAAAGAAACTTCAGGCAGGTAACAGACAGGCAGGATAACACACGCTAAACACGACTATCTACAGACAAATGACTGACTGAACTGAAGGAACTAAATACAAACACTGATGAACTGAAACAGGGGACACAGATGTTGATAATTAACAAGACAGGTGACAACGATGATGACAGGCAGGTGCGAAAACATGAGGGATGCTGGGAAGTGTAGTGAAGAGGCGGAGACAAGACAGACTGTGACAATACACATCCAATATAAAAGCAAAATTTACTGGTCCTCTAAGATAGAGTGAATTGTGGGAATTTAGTTTAGTTAAGCACCATTCAACACAATGAAGTGAAAAGGTTGTTAAAATGCAGTGTATTGGCTAAAACACCACAATACACCTTGGCCACCATAGCCTTAAATGAGGGAGAGAAAATGTATGAGACTCTACAGTATCTGTCTGAGTGTGTGTGTGTGTGTGTGTGAGTGTGTGTGAGCACTTGTGCATAAAAAGAGATTGTATAAATAGGCAATTTTTGTAGCAAATTGGCCTTTCCTTTAGCCATTATCTAAATTTAAATGTGATTTATACATTCATCATAACTTAGTATAGTTAGCAGTTATGTACTTTGTAAAAGTTATGTGACTTTTCCCATGTCTGAGATCCATTTTAGGCTTATTTATGTTCCTATTTCTTACGTCTTAAAGAAAATGACAGTGTTGATAGATCTGATTTGTTATTAGGCATTTGTATGAAGCAAACTATAATATATGGGGTTGTTTAACCATTTTGTAGTATTTAGTTTATTTACCTTGAGACACAAAAAGCGTTTTCTCCAATAAAACACAACATAAATTCACAAAAAACATCAATTGTATTAGCCTGATGTAATCCAAATCTTTAGAATCCATACGTTGTTTGCAAGAAACAGATCCAAATTCAGCCCTTTATGATCTTCATCTCCATTTCTCAGCAGCGACCGCAAACTTCAAATCCCGTGTAAATCAAATGAGTAATATTTTCTCCCAGTGTTTCACTCTTCCATCTTCATCTAGTTGCTGCTGTGATGGATGGGTTTCAAAGGGCAAGCTTCTGGGCAGAGTTTTAAGTGGGCATACACGCTATGTGCATTGAATTAAAATGTAGTCTTCTGAACTGTAGGAGGAATACACAAGGTGTGAACAGAAAACATTTTTTACTTTGAAAAGTATTTTTAAAAACCTTTTTGAAAATAATGGTGAAGATGTTTACACTCACATGTATTCAAGGTCTAAGAAAAATATATTATTACTTTTTACTTCATGGTTATACAGAACTTAACATTTGTCATTAAACCAGAGGTCTTCAACCCTGCTCTTGGGGACTGACTGTCCTCCAACCCTAATCAAACTGTAAACTCCATGCACTGGCCCAACAACGGAATCCAATGTCATGGTTGAAGGTATTCTGCGTGTATGTCTTTTCTGGTGCTTCTGGAAAAATCACTTGAATTTATGAAACTGTTGGTTTCTAATTTTAATTCTGACTTTAATTTTGTGATACTTTGTTTATACTATGTTTCTGTTTTAACAGCTGATCATAAGATTAGTTGTGATTTAATTTAGAACTTTGATTATTCTGAGTGTCCCCTAATGCCGAATAGAGATCACTTCGGCCGGATTGTGTTTCTCACGGGCAAAAAGTTCTAACTTTAGTCAGTGGATGCAGGGTTAGCTAATACCTCTTAATTCGGTGGCCTACTGCTCACTCGTACAAAAAAGTGTAGTTTATTTAGCCACTTCCATACAACTTGCTAACTTAAGTCAGTGATAGACAGAAATAAAAAGGCCTTCAGATGACGTGCCTATTGCTCCATTCATACATGCGCCTTTGGTTTGACCAATCCTGGCTAAGATTTGCGATAGCATCAGCCTCCTTATAATCTACTAAAATAAAGATTTCAGAATAATACAGAATAAATCAAGATTTAATTTTTTTTTATTTTAAACATCAATTAAAAGGATCAAAAAGAATTGGCAATATGATACACAACTGATCAGCATAAAATACAAACACAATTAAAAAATGCAATATTAAAAATAGTTTCAAAAAGTCAGCATGGCAATATAGACACACTGCAATTTTGTGGGAAGTTCTGCTTAAAGGTGCTTTCTTGAGTGGTTTGCCAATTCCCTTTAAATACCCAAATGGAAAAAAAGATTATTGTGGATATGAGATTGGCCCAGTTGTGGTATGCTCTCTCTCTTAGATCCCCTCTTCAGATTAGTGAGTTTCACTGTTTTACAGGTTTGAATTCTTGAATTCAATCTTAGGAGAAATCCATTCTTACTGTGTGAAGCAGGTTGGATATAAACTTTGCAGGACATGGTTAAAGACTTTTGATTTAAACTTTTGTTAAAATGGTATTAAAGTTTTTGTGATGTAACCAGCATAAATACAATACAGTTCATACAGTTTTTTGAGACTGTATGATCTACAGAAGACTGAAATCTTAAAAACAGGGGGAAAAAAACTCGTTTGTACCCTGACCCTGTATGTTCTGTTTAATATGACTACTCCTTGTCACACAAGCTGCAAGAAATCTGCATCAATGTCTTCTTCTCATTGTATGTTTGATATATTTAGAATACCTGTGGCAGCTTGTTTCTCGATGTGCAAATGTCTTTGTCGTGTTCTGGGTTTGTAGTTTGAGGCCAAGGCTAAAATAAAGCTTTCTCTATGTTGCCATGGTAATCTGTCTTCTGTTATCATGTCTTTGAAACTCCCACCTCTTCCTCCTCCATCACAGAATGTTTATTCAGCTACTTAGTTCCCAGGTGTTGTCTCACAAAATCTATTTCTCATGGAAAGCCAGTGTTGTGACAGCACTGGTACTCAATTTTTTTTGTCTGCACAGCTCTGAGCATCAGGACAAGAGTATACAATATGTATGTGTGTGTAGACAGTAGATGGAGTTTGAAGGTGAGATGGTGTGTTAAAACCACCAGAAAGATTGTTGTGACACAAATGAATAACAACTTTGTAAAAGTTATGTGACTTTTCCCATGTCTGAGATCCATTTTAGGCTTATTTATGTTCCTATTTCTTACGTCTTAAAGAAAATGACAGTGTTGACAGATTTGATTTTTTGCCTAATGCATTTGTATGAAGCAAACTATAATATATGGGGTTGTTTCTCAAAGAGTAATACTTTGAAGTAATATTTTCTCCCAGTGTTTCACTCTTCCATCTTCATCTAGTTGCTGCTGTGATGGATGGGTTTCAAAGGGCAAGCTTCTGGGCAGAGTTTTAAGTGGGCATACACGCTATGTGCATTGAATTAAAATTTAGTCTTCTGAACTGTAGGAGGAATACACAAGGTGTGAACAGAAAACATTACAGTTTTAGTAGAGTATTAGTAGACTGGTAGGGTTAGAATCAGTTGACATGTAGTTGAAAAATTACTTATAGTCAGTAGAGTGTCTGTTGGAGGAGCATCACAATAAAGAGCAGATATTAAGCAGACAGTCTACTAATACTGTAATGACAGTTAATTGACATGTAGTTGCAAAGTTAATTATAGTCAACAGAATGTTCAAAAGGGACCATCAAAATAAAGTGTTACCAAAATTGCACATCTGCAAGTCTGGACTGTGTTAATATTCACTTTAACCGAACAGTTCTTTTTGTCTTGTTTCCTTGTGGCAGCCATAATTGGGGTCAATGTCCTCTTTTTGCTCCTTTTCACAACCTTCTCTGTTCAATTGCCTTATTATCTCTCAGGTTTACAGTTCACACCTGCCTGTCAAGAATACATTTCCTTGTGATTATTAATTAGCTGCACACACAGGCAGGCAGGTAATGAGCTAGAAGGAAAATTAGGATTTTAAGGGCATCCAGACGACATAAAAAGGAAGAATTTTTCCATGTTTCATTCATCCGAGTGAATGGTAAATCTCACACTGAGATATGACTAATCAAAAACAAATGCAATTACTGCTGTGTTCGCGCTGTCAGGGGAAACTAAGCAATTCTCTCTGCCTGAACGCTTAGTTCTCAAGCACTTATTTTCGTTTCATCTCTTAAAAAAAGACTCCCATTGAGGAAATCCCAGTGAGGAGAGAGAGAAAAAAATGCATTAAGGATCGAAAAGATTGCCAGATCGCAAGGGGAGATGCTATGTTTTTATGAGGGTCAGTCTGAGTCAACAAGTCTCTCCTGGTCACACACACTGTCATTGTAGCGGTTATGAAATTCTGTCTCCACGCTGCTCATTTCTGTGGTTAGACTGTGTAAACATTGATCCTGGAGAGACATAAGGTCAAAGTAATGTCTTGTGAGGGATAGAATCTGTGTGTTCGTGTGCAGTATTTCTTTTATAAGTCATATCTAGTGCCCATCTCCGAAACCTTGGTCATATCAGGGGTGATGTATACATGTGTGAGCTCATGTGAGAGGCTCCTGGGCCTTATCTCAAGACCGATTACAGTGTCAGGAGACATTAAGCTACAGATCTCGCTTTGGGTCTGTCCAATGTCACAGTGTTTTAAGAAGCAATTCTAACAATCTAAAAAAAAACTGCACTCCCAACAATAAAATATTTGAATTACTGACAGACTTTCACTCTTACTTTCTGTCATTACCTGTCA